TATTTATTTATTTATTTATTTATTTATTTATTTATTTATTTATTTATAGCATTGTATATTAGTATAGTATTAGTATTTATTAGTAGCATTGTAGTCCAGAAACACAAAACCCAGACACCTTTAGCACAGGCATATTTTCCTTTCATGCCTCTATAAAGATCAGTTTTACAAGTGGAAAAGTCTTTTGCCATGAGACCATTCTTAGTCCCGTGGATTGTATGAATTGCCCTTGGATGCATGCAAGGTGGACCCAAGTTCAGTTGGCATTGTTTGTTTTCTGCTTTTTTCAGTAGCCAGAAAGATAGAAAACCGGAGAAAGGAGGCCAATGAAATATAGGAAACATTTACAATGCAGTATTGAAGACAGTACAGCTAGAGAAACAGTGGACTGAATTTTGTGTGCAATAGGATGACGTGGGAGCAAGGTGGGCAAAATAGGTATTCATCCAGATTGTAAACTGGTGGAGGGTGAAGTCTCATTCTTGAACACTGACCAATGCAAAATACTTGCAAGCACCAGCACGATACATTTGCAGAGAAAGATCCTAATGCAGTCTCGTCTCTCACATGCCACTTGCCTATTGCAGTTTCTGTTTATGTACGTGTGTGCTGGGGGTGTGGGTGCTATTTGTCTCATGCAGGGAGACAATGAGAACTGGATAGAATATACTTGTTCAATCCTGTTTATAGCCTGAAGTGCAACATTTGCCATCTCTTTCTTCTGTATGCGCGCATTAGGTTTTAGTACCGAAAGAAGCAGCAGAGTATGCTGTACCCTGAGAAGGAACAGGACTGCACCTTCCACTCCATGAGCAATGATGGCCTGAGGACGCTGTCCATTCATCATGAAGCACGCCTCATTCATCATGCTTTTGTGGATTTGGTGATGACGGGTTATTAATCTAGCAAGAGCCTTGACAGGAGTTTTTCCAAGAGGCTTGAGAGCAGAGCTCCGTAGTGGTGTGTTAGCATAGTTTCTTTGCGTAGCATACAAGACTACAGAACAACAAGTCTGTTTGTGTGCATTAAAATAATAAATAAATGTGAGCTCAAGATAGCTGGGGTCTCTCTTTTCAGTTTACCCATATAACCTAGCAATATTCATGCAGCCTGGGACAAGAGTACTACTTGTTAACACTAAGTGAAGTCAGGGAGGATTCTGAATCGGTCTTCCAGCATTGTGTGGGCAAGTGAAATATACACACATACTCTTTTCTTGAGGCTTGTATGCATAGGCAAAATAGGTGGGATTGAAAATTTGATACCTCTGATCCATTAAATTGCTTCTTTCCTGTTGTTAGACAAACAGAAGCTAGTTGTTGATGTTTTTTGCATGAATGTTTATCCAGTTTTTTAGCCTGTCTCTCTCACACATCCCTTCAAAATTTGATGAATTTGGCTATTAAAAAGTTTGTTTCTCTTTTGTAGGTCATGAGCCTGGCCTTGTACAGCTGGTGAACTACTACAGAGGAGCTGATAAACTTTGTCACAAAGCTTCTTTAGTGAAGTAAGATCTCACTCTCTCTGTGTGTTATCCTTGTATTTTTATGTGTGTCAATATAAAATGTTGGGCTATAAAATTAAGTGCACAGGTATTAGAGCTTGGAAATCTTACTCTTTTTAATTATGACCAGCAGAATCCCCTCAGCCAACATAGTCATATGGGGAGTTCTAATAAAAAAAAAAGCACAAAATGTTTCCAACCTCTGACAAGTATATCTAGTAATATCCTTATTATTATTTTTTAATTATTGAGATGCTATGATAACTTTGATCAAGGAAAGGCAAGAAACATAAATATTGTAAATCTTAAAGCCCACCCCCCCTCAGATTCCACTAGCTTGTTATAACATTTCTATTGTACATACAAATAACAATAATATATATTTTAGAGTGATGCATTTGACTAACAAAATATAATATGTGACTCTGACCTTGTGATTGTAAACCTATCTGGATTTGTGACCATTCAGTGGGTAATTATATGTGAGAAAAAGTAGTGAATGGAGTGTACCTGTTGTCTTCTACTCTCTTGGTCCATGGTTGTGTGAATAACTTGAAAGCAGAGTTTAGTTGTATCCTCTGATAATTTGTTTTATTGTTTGGATTATGAGCAATCATCCAAGGCTCTTTTCAGAGTGTGTACATTGCTGTTCTTCTCATATGGAGCTGTGGTGAATTTAGAATTTTGTATTAGTATATCCACAGTTTACGATGTTGTCTGAATCCTAAACTATGGTTTGTTTTAACTGTGGATTGTTAGGAACAAGACAGTGTCACAACACGTATTTGAAGCTGGTTTGTGAAAATGAGCTTCTTTATTTTCCCCGGGGACATAAGGTGTAACCAGAGATAATCTGAGATTATTCACGGGTGCTCTTAATTTGAAGATATATTTAAATCACAGCAGATAAATAGGGAATAAGATCCATGAAATGAAGGCACAGTATAAAAGAAAAAGGCAAATTAATGGATGTCTAACACAATACAATGATGAAATGAAAAATATAAAGCAGAACAATCTGGATTAAAGTATCAGATGAAATTACAATTATGTAAAATTATCCCTTTATAAAAACCTCCACCATCCCTCTAGTTGAAGCTCACTACGTTTAGCAATTTTTTGGCTGTAAGACTGAGAAGAAAGACATATAATAATTACCTATTCCAAGGAACAGGTTTCTGAAAACTCAGAGGCATGTGGAGAATTGATCCAGAAGAGTGAAGATGGAAGGGAAAATGTAAAATTGTGTTTGTGTGTGTGTGTGTGTGTGTGTGTGTGTGTGAGAGAGAGAGAGAGAGAGAAAGAGAGAGAGAGAGAGAGAAATAAATACAAGACAATAAGGGGAGTGTAGAATGTTCCAGAAGGAGCTTTTCTCAGAATCCAAACAAACTAAGGCCCAGAGGCCCCAGTGAATCAAAATCTACAAAAGTAAAACTTACATGAGAAAATGTAAATTGAAAAGCATCTGCATGTGAGTGTAACTCTGAGTCCCTTTCTCTAAAGCTGCAGTTGCTTTCTATTCCACTGACACCCTTGTTTTTCCTGTATTCTAGTAGACTTTCTTATCTTCATCCCTAAAATTCAGTTCTGTACTGGTAGGTGGCAAGTTGGAAGAAAAAGTGCTTTCGTTCTTTGTTTCCACAGAGTCAATCACCCTTTTGTCCAACTGCGCATGACATGATTGTAGCATCTTATCGGGGTACACCCATAGTTAAGAAGAATCACATTTTAATTAAATTTGCATGATGCATCGAGCTGTTTGTTACCAAAGAAACATAATTTCACATTTGAGTGATGAATAAATGAGTCTGGGTGAGGCTAGGCACATCCTTATTGTGATAAAACAAGGTTGAGCTCCTCTGGCAGGGCTAAATTCATGCCCCGAGCTACTCTGTTAGCATCAGACTCTGAAATACTTTTTTTTAAAAAGGGAATACAGAACCAGAAGTGAATGGAGATCCTTACCTTTAATTTTTGGGTCTAGGTGTGGGTATTGGTGGGTTTTTTTCCTTCCCCATGCAAAATATATAGCTCTTGGGGGAAACCGTCTAGAGTGGTCTTAATTGACTAGGTAGGCGGGATATAAAATAAATAAATAAATAAATAAATAAATAAATAAATAAATAAATAAATAAATAAATTTATGTTTACATTTCTTTTCTGCCCTGAAGCGGCTGGCATTGAACCGGTTCTTAGGCATCAGGGTATTGCAAAAATGGCCTTGGGCAGTGTGGGTCCATTTTAGACCATGTTTCTGATAAACCACGATTTAGTGTATGACTGTGATGAGAGAAAGTTACGCAGTGCATTGTCTCTGGAATTACCAGCATTTGAGGAAAGATAACAGTTTTGTCCGGGATATCGCACGAATGATGCTGCAGTCATGAAGGGAAGAATGTGCATGTGTGAAGCAGCCCCAGAGTTGAATATGGTGGCTTATATGAGGGCAAGTCTCGTATAAGGCAGTTTATGTATTTTAGATTCAGAAGTCTTGTTGCTGCTTCTTTCACAGAAGGGCATTTCCTTCACAATTGATCATGTCTTGACATTCTAGAGTTAGTTTCAGAAAGCGTTTGGAGGAATAATAATCTATGCTTAATTTCAGCCAGTCTTCTTTTATTCATCATTCCCAAGAATAACAAAATGGATTATTTCTCCAGAATGGACTGTGCAACGTTTAAGAATATGAAATGGAAAGCAGTCTTTAAAAATAGATAAATATCCCTTTAGATATCTCTTTTCAGAACTTTGGTTGATTTCGCTTAAGCATTCAACTATGATTCAGCAAGAAAGGGCTTATTTTTAATGGATAATATACAGTAGCCTTATGTAAGCCCTTTATATGGCATTTATATGCATACAGAGATAAACTTTGGAACCACATCATTAATTCAAACTAGCATTTTTAAATCCACATGACCTTTCCCTCTGAAGGCAAACGAAATCATTTGGTGATATTGCCATAGGTGTGTTCTCTTTTTAAAGATTGCCTTGTAATTCTAGAATTCTAAATTAGTACCTTTTTTCTCTGAAAACTATGGCTAAATTTGGTACAGATGGATCACAGTGACCATGAACAAATCACCCTAATAAAATAAAATTAAGCTTATTATGGTTTGGAAGAAGCAGTATAATCCTTCCAGTGTGGATTTAATTCTTGGGAGCTCCCTCTTTTTAGACCTCCAGTAGGAAAAGTGAATGAAGTGTACATTTTCTTCATTTTTTATTATACTAGAACTTCAGATTATCCAAAAAGGTTTAATGGTGGGAGATCCACCAGAAGCTATGGTTCCTTGTAGTCCCAAAATTCATATATTTCAGAGAAGGGAGTTGAACATGTAAAAATGAGTTCTGCAGACAGCCATGAAGCATAGAGGTGACAAGAAAAAAACCAAATGCAATCTCTGTCCCTTTTTTTGTTTAGACTAATCAAGACGAGTCCTGAATTGGCAGAATCTTGCACGTGGTTCCCAGAATCCTACGTGATTTATCCAACTGATCTAAAGACTCCAGTAGCTCCGGCACAGAATGGGATCCATCACCTGATAAGCAACCCAAGAACAGATGAAAGGGAAGTCTTCTTGGCATCCTACCAAAAGAGGAAAGAGAGCAGAGAGGGAAACGTTTGGATAGCAAAATCTTCAGCAGGTGCTAAAGGTTCGTGTTTGGTAGGAGCTCTGGGATGCGTTCCTTCTTAGCGGTTTCAGTTTGTTCTAGAGATGCTACTGTGGTGGCTTAGAGACTGGCCTTAAATAAGAAGATCCTCAGTTCAAATTTCTCCTTTGCTACAAAAGCATTAGATGACCTTGCTCAAACTGCTAGATCTTGATCTCATTTTCTAGAATACTGCTGCCTTTTTTTACAGTCTTGTTGGAAGGATAACTGGGGACCTTGGAAATTTTACTTTTTCGGACTGCAACTCCCAGAATTCCTTCACTGGGAGTTATAGTCCAAAGTATCAGAAGCACTCTGAAGCATGCTATGTACATGCTAAGGGCCTATTGACTGCCAAATGGAATCATGGCCCATAACTATCCTTCTGTGACATGTTTCAGCATCTCTCTATTTTTTTTTCTCTTGACACCTGCATTTAAAATACAATGGTGCACCGCATAGCGACGTTAATCCATTCCAGGATTAACATCGCTATCCGGATTCGTCGCTATGCAGGGGGGGAACCCATAGGAACGCATTAAACTCTGTTAAACGGTGCACTCGTTAAGCGAGGCACCACTGTAAGTTGTTCTGTCATGTTTCCTACATTGGAACTCTTCTAATTTTCTCCTAAAGGACAGCTCTTTGGCAGTGGTGTGTTCTATGATGGCATTACTGTTTCTTTATTCCTGCTTTTATGGGCTGCGTAATTCTCTTCCTGCACTGAGCTTGCTGCTGTCATGTTGCATTGTTTTCATCCCTTCATTGAGTCCTGTGTCTTTCCTGAAGCAGCAGCAACTTCTAGGGATGACACTTTTGTGTTAGCACAAATAAAACATAATATGAAAGAGGCTTTTTTTTTTGTTCTCATGTCTTCCATTGATTCCCAAAACACAAATGGTTCATATTAATGAAAGAGAGCAGCACAAAAAGGTTTTCACTCTTTCATGTAAACTTTCTATTCCTCTTTGTATGTCATCTGATAATTTTTTTCATCCAATAGTGTTCCAGGGGCTATTGAAAGGATATGTTGGTGTGATCAACGAGGGGCTGTCAGCGGCCAATCTGAACATTGAATGTTGGGAATGTTGACTCTGTAGAAGGGCCTAGAACTCATTGGGGAGTGGTTTTGTTTTGTTTTGTATGTTGTCATTGTTGCTGCTTCACCAGCTTTTGCTATATTTTTTCTTGATTTGGGGGTATGTGTCTCTCACTTTCGTTTTTTTCTTTTGCTACTGCCGGCAGCGTGCCTGTTCCAGTGTGCCTCCTTGGGATTTTAATCATCTGTAGTTCCTATCCCCATTGCAAGGACATTTTATGGATGGGCACATTACCAACATTAGTTATAGTGAACTTGCCCTTCATATGTTGCTTGGTAGACTTTTTTTTGAAGGTTTATATGGCTATCTTTCATATTCAAACAAGTATCTGTCTCCAAAGCCTGAGTCCAATTGATTATTACAGTAGTGCCATCTAATTAATGGGATTTACATGAGCATTGACTTGCTATAAAGTATTGACTGTCTAACAGTTAATTCAGCGGTCTTCTCTTGATGCAGCTAAAATTAGGCCAGTGTTATTAAACTGCCTGTTTAATTAGGGCCCCTTTGGTTGCAGACATATATTTGTTGCAGTCATTTAGTGCTGGCAGTCTTTCTGTTTAACTTGTTGGTGTGTTCTTTTCCTGGATAGGTGAAGGAATTCTTATTTCTTCAGAGGCTACTGAACTTCTGGATTTTATAGATAATCAAGGACAAGTACATGTGATTCAGAAATATCTTGAGAAGCCTCTGCTCTTAGAACCAGGTCATCGCAAATTTGATATTAGGTAACGTCTAAACTATATTAACCCTGAAAGGGTTTAATAACAGGTAAATCTGATTATTTTGATTTGGAAAATTTATAAACAATTATTTTTTTAAAAAACCTCTTTTTTTCTACCTTTAGAAGCTGGGTGCTAGTGGATCACCTGTATAATATCTACCTCTATAAAGAAGGCGTTCTACGGACCTCTTCAGAACCTTATAATAGTGCTAATTTCTTAGACAAAACCTGCCACTTGACCAATCACTGCATACAGAAAGAATATTCTAAAAACTATGGGAGATATGAAGAAGGGAACGAGATGTTTTTTGAGGAGTTCAATCAATATCTCACAAGCGCTTTGAATGTTACTCTGGAAAATTCAATCTTAATACAAGTCAAAAATATAATAAGGTAATGCATTTTGTGTGCACTGTAGAAGTATGCTGAGGACTCTGTCAAAGTAAAGGTTCCTCTTATTTATTTCATTTTTATCCTACTCTTCCCTCAGGAAACTCAAAACAATAAATATTCATCTGCCTACCTGTTTTAATCCCTTTGTACCAATCCTGTAAGGTGGGTCACAATGAGAGAGGTCACCAGTGAACTTCATCTATAGATGATATTTGTGGCTAAATCCTAGTTCTGCTTGAAGACTCTAGCTACTATGCCATGCTGGCCTTTGCATCAGTTACTGGTACTTGTACCGTAATACCCCACTTGACAGTCAAGATAGGTTCCAAGAACATGCATTGTTCACCAAATCAGAACGAATGGGGTCCTTTTAACATGATGTGTGAGAGAGGGAGAGTAGATTGGGCCTCTGGAAGAAGGGTTATTGTTTTAGGATTAAAGGCATGAAATGGGAGGTGATGGGGTGCGTGTCAGAGGCTGAGAGCTGTAGCCTCAGCCACCAGGATTCTGGAAACCCAGTCTAATGTTGGAAAAGGAATGTGAAGAACAAAGATCCAGGGAATCCAGCGTGAAGTGGGTTGACTGGGTCCTGGAGGATTGATCTCCTTTAGATAGATCAGGGGCACGTGGAGGGCCACACAAAATGACCACCTGAGGACATGCGCTATAGCTAATCAGTGGAAGGTGGGGAGTGCTATGTGAGGACTTACTGTATGTGTTTATATTTATTTATTTCCTTATGCTTTTATGCCACATTTTACAGTTTAGAGCAGGGGTGTCCAACCTTTCACCTTCCCTGGGCCACATTAGAAAATGAAAATTTGGTTTGGGCCGCACATAAATTTGGTTTGGGCCACATGGGGGGGGCAGCCCTAGCCGTCCTCCGCAACCCCGCTCCAAGCGCGCTTAACCGGCAGCTGCAATCTCAGACAGCAAAGGCTGCCAGCTTCGACTCCAGTGGCTTTATGGGGCCAGGAGGGGGTCCATCTATTGACGGGGACGGCGCAATGCAGTCACACAGCCCCCCTGTTCCCTCCCCTCCCACTCCTTCCTTCCTTCCCTCTCACCCCCTCTATTGTTGTGACATGCCCTGGCCACATTCCGGCCACAAGCGCTGGGCAGTGTAACTTGAAACTCTGGAATTTCTTTAAAAATAAAAAATTGCACTGGGCCGCATTACGAGCTGACCTGGGCCCCATGCAGCCCTTGGGCCGCAGGTTGGACAAGCCTGGTTTAGAGTGATGCTCAAGGCAGATTAACATGAACACAAATGGGGAAAAAAACTCAGCAGGTAAAGGACAGATTCAATAATAAAATCACTAAATCAGATAAGAAAAAAAATCTTTCAACCACAACACCATTACGGTCAGTTTAAAAGCAGATAGTTCAAATCACCACAGTAAATCAAAGACAATAAATTATACTGTTTACGTGGTTCTGAGCCTGTGATTGCACCTGTGTTGCCATCCATTTTAACATTAATAGAGTAGGAGAAATCACAAGTGCTTCTTTGGGAAGTTTCATGTTCCCTATAACCACCTGCAGCTGAAGGCATGACTGGAATGTGGAATATTTAACAGCCAAAGTCCTACATTCTTTTCCCTTCAGAAAATAAGAGCCTAGTAGTGTGCTGTGACCAACGTGTGCAGCTAAGCCGCATCAGGATTTCCCCCCAAGAAAAATTGCTTCTAAAGAAAATAAAATTGAACAAAAAAAGAAACACCTAGAAAGAAGGTTAAACACCGACTTTTCACTCCAGATCACCTCTCATGAAATTGCCTTTCTTGGGAGGATTATGTTAGGGCGCACTTCCATGTAAGCTTTGCCTAGACTCTAGAATTTAGTGGATTCCAGTTGAATTTTCTTCCTTCTGGTGGCTACACAGACCACCCAAAATACAAAACCCACAAAATATAATAATGGGAAAGAATAATAAAAAGAAAGGCCTGGAAGACCACTTGCAGTTTTGAAAAATAGGCATACCAGAGTATTAAATGTTAAGGGGGGGGCTGTGAGACCTCCTTAGTAGGAGAATTGCCATTTCTTGAGGCTTCCAGCAGTCACCATTTGCCACTTTTTGCCAGAAAAAGAGTAGGCAAAAAGGGAGCTGGAGCCTCATAAACAATCTGAGGAAGAGGCCTGCACTTTGGCTATCTATGTATGGTAAACCCAGTGTGATGAATTCTTCAGTTTTAATCTCTTTTAAAAAAAGAGGTGTATAATTAGACAACAGTTTGCCACACATGAAATTTTCAGAGTCCTAACTCTCAACATCAGTGGCTTCTCGTCCTGTTTGGGCATTAGAAGCTTGGATTTCAGATGTTCCAAGGGTAATGAGAAAAATGGAACCCTTACGGAAACCTTGAAGTCTCTAGAAGAAAACACAGCAAATGTATAATAATCCTCAATTATATAAGGCCAATTGAGTTACATCGATAGACAGCTGCACTGCAGAAAATGTCACCTCAGTGACTGAAAAAAATGCTGATGACTGATCTCCTTGCCCCTTCAAGGACCATCAAATTCTGACTAAGATGGATAGTTTGTAAATGTTAAAACAGAGGTGAGGAGCTTTTAGCTATCTGTTTACGTTGGAGTTCCCAATATCCAGAAATTTAGTAGCTGTTTGGTATTAGAGAATTATGGGAGTTGTGGGTCCAAAAGCCCTGGACGGTTGAAAATCCACTGCTCCTGTTCTAGCAGTTGAATGTGGGAGGTCATTGCAAAGAATGGGTAGATTTGGTTATCTAGTTCAGTGATTCTTAACCTTTTTGAAAGAAACACCCCCTTGAGCCATTGAGGAAGTTATCATAGCCTCCCTCCCCATGGTGATGATATCTTTATTTATTTGT